TAAAGTTATTTAAGACCTGTGCCCACTGTATGAGCATTAGTGTCGTTTCTATGCACACACAAGCACAAATAAAATCATTTGTTTGAGACAGTATGTTATATCAGGAAAACATCAGTTGGCAAAGATTGTGCAAACTTGCAAGAAATCTTTCACTAGGGTGAGAGAGAGGGGAAAAAGTAGATATGACCTAAACTATGTATACACGTACAACATTAACACAGAAAGAAAAAACAAGTAAAGAATCCACAGCAAGAAAGAGATGAAAGATTCACAAAACAATCTACATTGATTCGGTCAAAATTATCATCACACGGAAAGCATCAAGCATGAAAGAGCAAGACAGTACATCAGTACATGCTGTGATTGAAGAAAGTACAGTAATTAAAAGCTGGCTTTGCAAAAGTATACTAAGAGGTGCAGCCTTCAGCTAATGAGCCAACTATTTCTTCAGAGGCAATTTATTTATTTTATTTATACCCTGCCCTCCCCGCCGACGCAGGCTCAGGGCGGTTTGCAAGGCCACTGGCAACATAAAAACATTAAAGCAATAAAAACAGTTAATATCATTACAACAAATTCCAAAGATGCTACATGTATGCTATGGCAAAGACTGTCCTAATTGGCTGCAATAGAGTCAGCAGTAGTTGTATAGCTGGTATCTGGCTCCTAGGCACATTGTTCCTCTGTATGGGCGTGGATATTAGAGCAGGTAGCCAGGATGGATTATAGCATAGGTGTTAAATTTAAGGCCCACAGGCCTGAAGCGGCCCCACCCATGGCTTTAATCAGGCTCTTTTCTTCCCCCCTCCTGTCCTCACCCTTTGAAGCTTGAGGCTGCTCAAGTTCCCAGCTCCCTCTATCTTGTCTTTCCTTTGCCTGCTTGAGCAGGAAGCTCGTCTGGACTTGCAAAGTTACAAAGAAAATATGGAATGGATTTTTCCATTAAGGTCTCTTCACCCAGACAGACTACTCTGGGACTGTTTCTAGCAATAGAATCAGTGCTCTGGCTGGAATGACAGCCCCCAGAGTAGAATGATGGTCCCTAGCAATAGAATCTGTGTTCTGGGACTGGAATGACAGGGCACAGAGTGGAATGGCAGCTCCTGGGAGTAGCAGCAGCATTCTGGGAATGAATTCCACTCCGGGGGCCCTCATTCCAATCCCAGAATGTTTCTGCTACTCCCAGGGACTGTTATTTCAGTCCCAGAGTAGTCTATCTGGGTCCAGAGACCTTAATGGGAAATACATTCCACATTTTCTTTGCAACTTTGTCTGTTCTGTGCTTCCATTTATTTCAATGGAGTGGAGTTCAAGTAGTTTCACTTTCCAGTGTTTGTGTAGCTGAAGCTGTCGCTTACTGGAGTTGTATCCTTTCAAATACAGGGTTGAGGTTTTGAGCCAGCTTGTCTCTGCTGAATGGAACTGAGAACTGGTGCCTGAGTGAGTACTCTAACCAGGGAACCCACAGCCAAAGGGGGACATTACACTGAAGAGCCACTGCTTATGTTAAGTATACCTGGGGGGAGGGGAGAAGCTTGAAATGCCCAGCCATTTTATGTTCCTAGGCTCACAGCATTTTATATTTTAGTTTCTGCTGTGATCTTTGTGCTTTTTCTTGATGTTTTATTTTTAAAACTGCATTGCCAAATCCCACTATTCCCCCACCTTTCCATTTATGCAGGCATCTTTTTTTTGGGGGGGGGGGAGGTCTGGGAGGTGTCAGTTATCGAAGACTGTTAAATAAACAAAACATCTCAAGTTCTAAGCATATTTGTATTTTAAGTAAAAAATAATATCTTTACTTGTGTTTGTATCTTTTATAAAGTTTATATCTCTGCTGTCTGGCATTATATTTTATGACACGCATGGCCTGCTCCCACAAAGTCCCAATTATGTCAGATCCGGCCCTTGTAACAAATGACACCACTGGATTATAGGGCCTAGCTTACTCAATTGATGTTAAACAGTTTAATATGGCGTCTTACTTAAACACTTAGCAGAAGAACTCTGTCTTGCAGGCCCTGCGGAATTGTAATAAATCCCGCAGGACCCGGATGTCCTCTGGGAGCTCACTCCACCAAAGCAGAGCCACTGCTAAGAAGGCTCTAGCCCTGGTTGTGGCCAGTCTGACATTTTGTGATCCTGAATGCAGTACTCTCTGGGGAACATATGGGGAAAGGCAGCCTCCTCAAGTATGCAGGCCCCTGGCCATATAGGGCTTTATAGGTAAGAACCAGCACCTTGAAGTGAACCTGGTACGCTATAGGTAGCCAGTGCAGTGCTTTCAGCACAGGCTGAATGTGTTCCCTCAAAGGAAGACCCAGTAACAGCCTGGCCACCACATTCTGCACCAGCTGTAGCTTCCAGATTTGGGACAAGGGCAGCCCCATGTAGACAACATTGCAGTAGTCTAATCTTGAGGTGACCATCGCGTGAATCACTGTTGCCAGATCATTGCATTCAAAAAAGGGAACCAACTGCCTAATCAGCCAGAGACGGTAAAAGGCCGACTTGGCAGTAGCTGCTACCTGGGCCTCCATTGTTAAGGAGGCATCATCGAGCACTCCCAAACTCCTAACCTCCAACATTGGCACCAATGGCCCCCCATCGAAGGTTGCAAAGAGATCCCTAACCCCAGACCGCTCCAACTCAGATACAGGACCTCTGTCTTTGTTGGATTCAGTTTCAGTTTAAAGAATTTTGTTAAATAAAGATGGTGAAAAATTAATATACAACTTGCAACAGAGGCAACTTCCCCTACCTAATTTATTTTTGGTTCAAAACAGGATAAATTCAAAGTTTCATATCTATCTCTATCAATGTTTATAAACAATGGGTTGAATGCAGAGAAAGATTTCCACTAGGGGTGTGCATTCAGGTCTACCTGATTTGAAAATATACCTGGAAAAAAACCTCATAGGTATTTTTAAAGTATATAATGGCATCCAAAATGAATCCAGGATTTTCCCTGAAAACTGGAAAAAATCTCCAAAAATACCGGCAAACCCGAACAACAGCTGAGGGGCTGGAGCACATTGCTCCCGCCCCTCGGGTGTTTTTGGGCTTTCTTCTGCAGTCCCTTTAAACACAGTGTTTAAATGGACTGCATAAGATAGCCCGCAAAACAGTCAGGGGGGCAATCTCCCCAATGGCTCAGCTGAGGCTCTTTTTGGTTGTTCGTCCAAACTGCCGAAGAGATTCCCAGCGGAGCCTATGGGGAAAGTTCTCCCTGCAGGATCAGGTGATTTGTAGGCTCTGTTGGGCAGTTTGGTTTAAACCAGGCTGGAAAGAAGAAAAAGAACAAGGTGCAAGACAGTTTATTTAGCTCTTTCAAAGTGGGAGCTGAGAAATCTTTATAGATCTCCTGACAAAGCTCATAGTGAAAGGCGTAGGGATCCATAAGAGCTAAATAAACTCTCTGCCTTGTACCTTGTTCTTTTTTGTCTTTCCTGCTCACCAGTGAGGCCATCATTTTTCCTGATTACTGTTGTTAAAACAGGCTGCCCAGCAGAGCCTGCAGGGAAAATCCTCCCCGCAGGATTGGCTGTTTAAACTGGGCTGCCCAGCAGAGCCCCAGCCCAGCCTGCAGGGAGAACTCTCACCACAGGATAGGTTGTTTGGCAGGCTCTGTCGGGCGGTCTGGTTTAAAGGGAACACACAAAAGAGCTCCAACTGAGAAACCTATCAGCTATTTTTTGTGGCTTTACCACTGCTTTTTTTCCTCTGTATTTTTCAGTTTGGGTCTACTGGACCTGAAAAAATTCACAGTTTCCAAAAATTCCCAGACCTTAATACTTTACTAGTATGGGGATCTGGTTTTTCTCGGGAATCCCAAATTCTGGCCTTCTCTTAACTGGAAAAACTGAAGGGAAGTTGTCGTAATTACTTCTCAAGCCTACAGGCTGACTGATATTAGAGTACAGTTTAAGACAGATTATTAACAACTACAACAGACTACAAATGGGCAACACATAAAACATTTCTGGAACAGGTATATCAACTTATCCATGATTTTTGAAAAAAGGCAGTTGAACAAAGCTATGTTTGCTGCCTTTAAAAATAAGAACGAGCAAAACATATTGTATGAGCCCTATTCTTTATAAGTGAATACCCATTTGTTAAAGAATTCTGCCCAAAACTATACCAGGCTAAGGGGTTAGCTATGAGAAGTTCAATGAATGTAAATTTTACTGATATTTCCTGATTTGTTTAGTGGTATGATTATTTTAGTCTGAATATCTTTTGAAAATCTTACAAAGCACTTTGAACTAAGGTATAATTAAAATATCTTATTTGGAGGAAAGGGAATATGCAAGTGAACTCAAATTGATATTTTGTATTAAAACCTGGTAAAATCTTCTGGGGTAAATTTGCAATCCCAATTGTTTTTTTTTTTTTGGCAGAGTACATACAGAAGTAGTTCTACAGAGTTTTCCTCTTAGGTCACTGTCACTTGCACATAAGTAAATGATGCTCTCAAAGTGCAGCTGCTGAAGAGGGGTTTTTTTGTATTTACAAAAAATCACCTGGGGCATAAAACAACCACAGGAAACAAATTATTTTACCATTTGGGTGTTGTTTTTGCAAGACTGATGTATAGTGGAATTTGGCTTGGGATATAGATATACCTCAGAACACAACTGTGTAATTTTTCAGAATATTGTAGCAAGGTATTTAAGTGGTTGCTTATACAAAGCTGTACCACAACTACAACTACAACAAAATCAAAGTTCTCGCATTCCAAAAGCTAACAGAAGCCAACACACATTCGCTATGCATTTTTCTCTGCACAAGAAAACAAGTGTGGGAAATCCATGCATTAATATAGATTAAGATAGATTTTTAAAACTCTCATTAGTCTTATTACAAATTTTGACTGCTTTAAAAGTACACTGCAATAATTTACCTTCAGTACTGGACATTGTACAAGTACAGTAAAGTCCAAGCATCAGCCACAAAAATCTAAATGCATAAAATATAGCTAATTTGTATACATTTACCTTGTTCCTGTTCTTCTCTTGGCTCTGTTCCGTGACAACATCAGGTCCACCTTGAGAAAAACTCAGAGTGCTACCAGAACTATGCTCTTTATGGCTGTCTCCAAACCAAGAGAAAGGCATGCAAGTGGGAATAGGGGAATCTGAATCTGAGGCAGATAAATTGTTGTCTTCCAGTAATTCATGGGAGCCTCTGAAATAAAATGAATTGTGTAAATGATTCTGAGATAATCTTCTGTATGCATAAACATACAGTGCTAAATATATTTGACTAAAAATTCCAAACGTGATAGCTATGTTAAGTCTATTGCAGCCAAAACAAATAGAAAACTTGAAAGTTCAAATTTCAAATAATCTTTTCAGTCTGGAGGGCAAAGTTAAGAATGTAATATGAATCTATAAATACCGGCTATCCAGAGAACCTCTTGCATTTTCTTTTTCCTGTTTTTTGCCTTTACCGCCAGATTTTCTTAGGCCCCTGAAAGTAAGGAAAACATCTTATTTGACAGTCACAAAAATCAGATGTCAAGTCCATTCAAGACATTTGAGATATACAGAAAAATTAATTTGGTAACTATCTGCAGAGTTTAGCACTGCCGTTTTGAAGATGATATTTGGCTCTGCCTCCTTCCCAGATGTGGGTGCTCTGCCTGCAGCAACCCTGTGTGTGGAAGCAAAAACAGGTTGCTTACCTGTAACTGGTGATCTTTGAGTGGTCATCTGTGCATTCACACCCATGGGATCTAGTGCGCATGTGCTGGATCGATGGGAGCTGTAGCAAGTTCTTTTAATGGATTTTCGCACCCAGTACCTCGGGCATGCGCAGGAACCCCACTACGTATCTTCGACGTGGTCTCTGTGCTTCACACCCATGAGAGATTAGCGAGCAGTAGCCTATCTGGAGGAGGGCGCTGGCAGGACCTTTACTGCGTAGCCGAAGATAGAATGTGACGTCCCATGCTGGTATTGGTGTTCGTACGGACGTCTAGGGCGTAGTGCCTGATGAAGGTGTTAGGCGTGGCCCACGTAGAAGCTTTGCAAATGTCCGTCAGGGGAACTCCCTGGAGGAAGGCAGTGGAAGTCGCGACAGCC